TTTTTTTTTTTTTTTTTTTTTTTGGGTGTGGCTTGCTTAGATTGGGCAGAGAAGAGAGGATTCCTGTTTTAGTGAACGGGGAGAAAAAAAAAAACCATTTTGTTTTGATTAAACCTCTAATTTAATTAGAGAATTACCTTGATGGATGCAATAATCCTCACCCTTTTGGCATCCAGGTACCTTCTATATGACTCAATCTTACCTCTGCCACTTTGGAACCGAACAGTCTTATTTAGTGTTAATATAGGTATACATGATGCTGTCCATATTCATGTGTGTAAAATGTCTTCTGTCCTAAAAAACCTGCATGAGAAACATTCAGCTGCAAAATTTGTCTCCCAAATGGGCTTGGAAAGGGCTGTTGAAACCCRTGCTTTAGCCCTCATTGTTTGCCTGACACTGAAAATCTTTATTCGCTTGGCTGTTGACAATTGTTTATCAATTCTGTGGAGATCTTTCCTGCCAATTGTGGTAAGAAAGAGGCCAGGCCAAAATGATTCTGGTCACTCCCTGCCTCAGCTGAGCAGGGGGGAGAAAATKATAATAAAAGGCTTATGGGATGAGATAAAGGCAGGAAAAATCATTCACCGGGTACCATGTCAAGGAAAACAAACTTGATTGGGGGAAATTAGTTTAATTTACTACCAATCAAATCAGAGTARGGTAATAAGAAATAAAGCTAGATCTTAAAAACACTTTCCCTCCACAGTGTCCTTCCCAGGTTCAGCTTCACTCCCAATTTGCTCTCYTTCCTCCCTGCAGTAATGCAGGGAGCTGGGGAATGGGGATTGCAGTCAGTTCATCACACGCTGTCTCTGACAATCCTCCCTCCTCAGGGGSAGGACTCCTCACACACTTCCCTTGCTCCAGAATGGGGCCCTTCTCAGAGGGACAAATCTCCATGAACTTCTCCAGTGTGGGTCCTTCCCACATGAGCATAGGTCCCTTCCATGGGGTGCAGTCCTTCAGGAGCAGGCTGCTCTGTCTATGTAGGGTTACAAGGCAGGAACAGGGCAAGAAAACTTGCTTCAGTGTGAGTTCTTCTCCCTGTGGATGCACAGGCCCTGCCAGGAACCTGCTCCAGCATGGGCTTCCCACAGTGTCACAGCCTCATTTGTGCATCCACATGCTCTTGTATAGGGCCCTGGATGGGCTGTAGGAGARTCTCTATGGGACTCTGTGGGCTGCAGGGGTGCAGCTGCTTCACCATGGTCTGCACCAGGGGCTGCAGGGGAATCTCATCTCCGGTGCCTGGAGCACCTCCTGCCTCCTTCTGCACYGACCTCRGTGTCTGCAGAGCTGTTTTTCTCACATATTCCCACTCCTCTCTTMATCTGCTATTTGTTGTGGTTTSGGAATGGTACTCCCTGATTTAGTTCTTCCACTAAGGAGTTTCCACACCACACTATTGGCGGGATTGTGCTGTGGACTGCCCCCTTGCAGCACCACTCCTTTGGGTGGCTAGAGGGGAGAATTGGAGGCACAAAAAGCAAAGATAACAGGTTAAGATGGGAAGAATTTACTGAAAACAACCATGAGATAAGAAAAGGAATGGTAACAGCCACAATATTGACAACAAAGATGTTTCTTAGAGAGTGATTTCACATGCAAAATATCACTGAACCTGACCAGTACCAGGCTTGCTCATCAGAAAGGAATCCCTTCTCCTCAGAATCCACTTTTTTCCATCCTTGACAATGAGATGAGGTGGTATAGAGTAACCTCCCTATCCTAGCCATGCAATTCCCAGCTACTGCAGAGATAAGCCCTGTCTTAGTCAGAACCAGGACACAATTAAACAGAGGGTTTGTTTTTTTTCCTCACAGAAGCCACCC